ATTATTATTATTATTATTATTATTATTATTATTATTATTTTGAAACAATATTATTTGCTATGTTTTAAAGAATCCTAGTCAATCACAATGGACTACGGGCCGGGAAAAAATGAAATACTATGCAATGCGCCATTATCTCGGTCTTAAAAAAATGGCGGTTTTGTAGGTAACGTTTGGGAATCCAGTTCCATCGGTCTTGTTATTCTTGATAAATGTTTTACGAGTATCATAACATAATGATGCATAGCCACTTTATGCTTTCCATGATATATTAAAAAAATTGGCAACAAATCTAAGGTGGATTTTGAAAGTTGTGATGACTATCAGGTGGACGACCAAAAAGTCATAATGTCTCAAAGAGAATATCCCTGAAAAATTCTACCTACTTGCTGTAGAATAAAAGGAAGGAAAATTTTAAGGCTTTCGGATATCAAATTTGTAGAACTTTTGCTACATGACAAGAGAGGTTGGAAGAGCTCGAGAACGACGTAGGCGAACGATGTAGACAATACTATAGGCACGCAATGCATTGTGGTTGACTGGGATTCTTTAAACCCTCTGAAACCCTATAATCTGAAAGATAAGAAGAGCCCTTTAAACAAAAATAACTAAAAATCAGCTAGTACTAACTGTTTGTGTTCCTGTTTGTGACAATCGAACATTGCCTTTGATCCACATGTTTCCTTGGGATCCGCTTTGAGTGAACACTTTAGAAGTTCCGACAAAGACGTTAAGAGTACCAATGTGGTTACCATACATGTGGTAATAGAATGTCAAACACTGGTTKCTGCCGATGGTGACCGTCTTCTCGATGATAGCATTATCACCTTTCACTYGGGGRGAAGAAGYCTCGATGTACATGTAAAAACCTAGTAAATAGAATTGCATTGACAATGATCACGCAACACCTCATTACGAGTCTAGTAGTATTAAGCCCAGATATGATGAAAATGGAAGTACTTCAGAACAGGAGATCTGTCAGTAAAGCATGAGAATCCGATCAATAACGCAATCTATGTACTTCATGAACACGATAAACAAGTATATTCGAATGCGTGACCAAAAAGATCACGCAACACCTTATTACGAGTCTACACTGGACTGAAGAAGGAAGGTACTCTCGCCTTCCCAAACGTCTCCATCAAAATCATCAGAACTCAAACATGCAAATAGGTATTTTCAATTACGTTTCTTAAATGATGTCAGAGTTTAGAGTAACTTTCATTCAAAACAAATGACAATAAAAAAAAGTTCTGCAAGATATTTCTGATCAATGAACTTCCTATAAATATAAGAAGGACAAAAATTTTTAAGGGTTTTAAAAAACTTTTAGATGAACACATCTAAAAGTTTTTTTAAAGTCATCCCATTTAAGGTCCCATCCAAGATATTTAGCTGCTGCAACCCTCTTTATTTGTTTATCGCCAATGTGAATTGGGATAATCTTCCCTAATTAATTTGGAAAGCCTGAAATCTGAGCCAATAAACAAATACTCAGTTTTGGTAGCGTTTAGTCTGTTCGCCAACAACCAGTGATGTACATTGATTAAATCTTCATTCAACTTGACCTGCATTTCAGTTGTTGAAATAGAGGTAGTGCTCATGATAGTCTTGTCAGCGTGCGTATGGGGCTCAGTGAATGAAAGACACCCCGAAAGGTCGACAGACAGATAGACTGACAGAGGAAAAAGAACGTGGTCAATAATGTCCAGAACCAGCCTTAACTACAGATAGTTTAAAGAGAAAGTAACTGAACACTGCATTTGTTTCCGTTTCTTTCATTTATAATTTTAAAATAAAAGCAGGCATACTCTTGATGCTTACCCCGCCTTAAATCGCCTTAGATTCTATCATATTTTCTTTATTTAGACCGCCTTATACTGCCTTATGTCGCCCTATATCGAATAAATTTATGACCCATTGTTTTGGTGAGAACTTTGTATAAATTGCCCTGTCTGTCCGTCTCTAAGTCAATTTACCTTTTCCTGTAGAGTGGTCTCCACTTGGTCCAGTGTGTATTGACGATGTACCATACTGTCGTCTTGTCCAATCAAATTTATCGTCTTTTCGTTGAGTAAATCCACAGTCACGTTCAAAATCGCATTTGAATGCTAACAAGGATAATTTCATTAACAACAATTTGCGAAGGTCAAGATGAAACATTTTCCTCAACTACATTTATTAGTATTTTCAAAATTTTGTTGTTAGGTTTGTAAACTATATGTAATTGAGTTTCATGATGAAAAGAATTGTTTTTTCAAATATATGATTCTTTTTTTTTTACCTAAACATATTTTTTTCAATCATAGTCATTTGTCACCTCTCCCTAGTGATAGGCAACCCAAAAAAAATATCAGGGATGATATCCCATAATTTCTGATATACTTTTGATATACTTGTATATATGTACAAAAGGATCAGAATTTATGCATATCGCTGTATATATATTATATATATATATATATATATATATAATTGTGTGTTTATGTATATACATATATACATATAGCTTACCTGATGGCATTGGTGGTGGCGTCGGTTTAACTATTGTTGTATCACAAAAAGAAAAGATTGTAGGTTGTATCACATCAATTTTCTATCACAAAATCTGCAGTTTACTGGGAATGTATTATCATTACAAATGTTTGGCAACAGAAGTTAATACCTCTACGCTTCTTTGTTTGGTCCACAAAGTTTTGAGCTAATTCTCAGTTATTTGAGAACTACGCTACGTTAATAAAAAATGTATCTTCTTTATTTGGTAACACTTTATTCATACACGTCAACTAATGCTGATTTCCACAAGAGGCGTGTGGTTATAATAATATTAAAACTTACTAAATAATAAAATTAATTAAACTACTCAAAATGGTTGTAGCCCTTCCTATTTCACTCGGTAAGAAATTCATGACCGTCCTGTTAAATCAATAAGGAAATGAGTTTTCGTCAAAATAAAAAGGGTTCATCCTCCAGAAATTTTGTTTGAATTGAAAACCCAACTCTTTGAACTGCCAGTACTCTTTGCAATAAAAATAAATACCATTTCTAGCTAAACAACTATACACTTACCAGTCCTAATACACTTATTAATTGTTTCACGATAATAATCCTTTTTAGTTAGACTAGAGCATTAACTAATAGATATGATATGAATATCTTTAGCATCTTGAAGTTAAACTGTTCTAAATACTGTTCATCAGTTAAAACTAGATAATTATCAGCACTGTTGCCAGCAAAA